GAAGTTGTATTTGGAGTGATTCAGGTATTTATTTTTTTTAACCTGACTAACCAGAACCACATGCTTTGACAAAACTTTGCAAAGACGATTGTATCTGGAGCCAGAGAGAGACACATGCTCCTTTCTCGTGAAAAACAAAACTTCAAAACTTCAGACTTACACATACAAGGACTAAGGCTGCGTTTATATGATGAAGGTCTGAACAGAAGACACAAAAGTGGCATCGCGTCTTCACTAAACGAAAGGCACTTCCGATAAAATATTTTGTCGTTTTTACCCGCAAGCATTCTCGTGTAAACAGGCCCTAAGAAACAACGTGGATTTTTACAGAATCAACAGTCGAATCATCAAACTATGACTTCTCTCAGGTCAAAGAAGTTGGTTCTGAATGATGAAAGAATTCTGGAAAAGAGATGTCTTCCTCCAATTGAGACACACATGAATCAAATTAGCAGCTATGGTTGGACCGCCCCGAGTTAGAAGAGAGGTTTGTCACGCTCTATGGTCCAATTCAAGTCCCTTCTGGGTTTGAACAGAATATAGAAAGGAGTGGTTGGTCAGAGAAGCATGTTTGAGTGCTCTTTTTCCTACAGCATTGTTCCGATCTACCACCAGTTTCACTTCCACCAGTACACGCCGACCGCTCTACTTCCCCTTCCAGTTTTATTTTCTTAATCGGTTGTGCACTGTAGTCATTTTGGCACAAAGGAAAAAAAATCTGCTGCTCGCTAGTGTGATCTACAGCTATTCACAGGAGGGACTGACAGCTTGGTCCCTCAGAGCAGCACTTTGTTATGATGACGTTTGCGGCAAGTTGTGTAAGGAGCAGGTGGAAATCTGCACTTCCATTTTTAAACTGGAATCAGCTCAATTGTTTTTGTTTTTTTAGTAAGTCATTTAAGATCAATAATGTGATTAAAATGTACAAAATATACCAGTGATCAATAGGCATTAAGGAGTAGATGTTTATAGTCTTTTGTAAAGGCTCTGTAAAGGAATTTCTACTGTGAACTGCAAGCATGTTTCAGAATTATCTGTCAGTCCCTTCTCTAATTTCAACTGTCTGGGATAGTTACAGTTACTTTTTTACCCACTTGGTTTTTATCCAATGGATGATTGGATTGTTGTCCCTGAAAGTTAATTAATTAATTAATTTTTCTTTCTCATCCAACACAATACCTTGTGAACTGTATTGGCGACTCTTTCTTTTCACAGGTAACTGGTAGAGGAGTAAAACATTTTTTAAGTGGGTGGAAAAAAATCATGCAGAAATAAATTGCATGTGATACTGTGGAACATTCCATTCCAGACAAAACAATAACTTCTCCATGGAGACAAGTAGGTGACGGATCCTCCACTAGAAAAGCTACATAGTGTGACTTTAAAATGCTTTTTGCAGATATGTTATTAACAGAACTGTAATGAACCAATCTGTGGATCCAGCCTCTGTGGTACCATTTTGCCTTCCCCATAATCTTCTGTGAGCTTTATGAAAAATGTGTTAAGCCACTCAGACCGGATTGGGGTCTGGAACCAGATTTAATCTTCTTTTGGCTTTTCGATTAAAAAAACAGATTATTCACAGAGACACATGAGGTGATGATTCAGTGCAGAAGATACATTAGAATTGTGTTTTGTCCTTACTGAGATGAAATGCACTTCAATAAACAATCTCTTTATACATGTTAAAGGTGCACTATGTTACCCTCATTCATCAGCTGGTTTCACTTCGTGGAAACCGTCTGACGTTTGCTCGACCATAGGCAGGTACTTTTTAAAATTTAACCAGTCGCTACTGTTTGGTCGTGATGTATGCAGTGTGCCGCTAACGGGGCTAACTGGTATATTAAGCTTTTCCCAAGTCCCGTAGGAAGAAGGACAATAACGTCTTTCCCCTTGATAAAATTCACCAAAAATTTGTTCCGGCTTTAAATCCTTGATCTCGGGAGTCGTTGCCAACACAGAATGTATGACTCTTCACTGATTGGTTGGTATCCGTACTCGCACTTCCGGGGTTCTTGCAAACCGTCTAGTGTATTCTGATTCCTGACCTAGTTGCTGGAGAGAAATGAAATTGAGCGGAGGCACTAGGTGGCACCAGCCTGGCAGCAGCACTATGTAACTTTTCTGATGGAATGTTTACCAACTGTTTGTCTCCATGGAGCTATTACTGTTTTGCCTAGAATGTTTCCGAGTGTGGCATTACACTTGTCTATGTCCGTGGAGACGAGCAGGTGAAAACATTGTCCAAGTTACAGATTAGATCTGTGGAGAGGACACCCCACTCACAATATTTTTTTTAGTAGTGTAGTAATTTGGACTTGCGCCTTTGTATTTTTTATTTGTATTTTTCTTTCTATCTCAGTAAGGAAAGTGTATGGCCAGAATAAGAGTGGTAAATGCCATAGCTAAATCTGTGTCTTTGTTTTTATCCGTAGAGTCAAGATGGCAGGGGCAGATGATAAATATTGACTTGATTATATTATTGGAGCAGACACTAGACAGTCGTATCTTTGTCTACAAGTGGCTCCAGCGCTGCCATGGCAACACTCAGATAAGGAAATCACATTGTGCGATTCCCCTAACATGCTTTCAGACACAAGTGGGCTTTGAGACATTTACACAAGATGAAGGCTCTAAGAAATAACTACTGACAAAGCAGAAGAAAGAGGAGGGATCAGGCGCACTGCTAAAAACGAGTATCTACATTAATTAAAGGGACTGTAAAAGTACTTCAATCACAACTGAGTCCTGGTTTCCAGAGCCTTAACCCGCAGATTGAAGACACGTACATATACATTTTTTTCTTAGTATATGGACATGCCTCGTGTGAAAGCTGGGGTGACCACTCAGATCAGAGACAGTCCTTTTAAGTAGAAACTGACAACTCAAATGAGACTCATGTGAGCGTCTTTTTGTTTTCTGATCAAAGACAATCAAAACAACCAAATGAACAGAAGCAAGTGTTGTTTGTATTGGAAAAATAAACCAGCTCAAAATGCTCTGTTCCAACTTGTGATGTCATGTAGTGGTAGTTTTTAAGTTAACAGCTACTTTGAAGAGGATGGACTTATTTTTGCTGTTGCTGCTGCCGAAATCCATCTATCCATACATCCATCCATATTATCCCAGTGAAGATGTATGGAGTTTAAAAACACAGTGGAGCACTTTCTGTATTTCTGAGTGTTTTGATTGAAAGAAGAACTCATTTTAAATAAGCAGGGTTGGTCTGTTGAACATGTGTGAATGAAACTAAACTCAAATCCAGGTCTGTTTGTGATGAGGAAACAACATTAAAACATGAATCAGAAAACAGCGTAATACGGGCCTTTTAACTCGCCCGCTATGATTACAGCGCCGCTCTACTGAGACCTGATAATCCAAGCTATACACCGATGTCCTTTGATAAGCCTAATAGATGTGCTAACTGTCCCCTCGTTCAGTCTGAGAGATAAACCCTGCAGGTGTATGATCTCTGCTGTTGTCTGCGCAGCGTGAAATGTCAGAAATGAGGAGCAAATGAACCCAAAGTGAATCATCCAAAGTGTGAAGCCTTTGACAGCCATGACAGCAGAGGAATGTGTCTACGAGGAACGCAGTCTCTGATACTGTGAACAAAGCTCTCTGCTGTGTGTCTCTTGTCATTAGGGGAGGATGATTATGAGGAAAACAAGGATCTTATTTTTGTTTTGTTAAAAGTACACTGTGTAACTTTTCCGTCAAGGGTTCTGCCACTTGTCTCATTGATACTTTGCAGCTGATGTCTGCGTGATGCTAACTGTTGGCTCTGATCTGTCTGAGGTTTTATTAGACTTTAATCTGTGTGTTATTTTAACACAATCTGACAGTGAAGAACTGACTTAGGTGGTGGTTTTATTGCTAAAAAACACAGAGAAAAGCGACCGTCCTGACTGTGAGCCTGGTTGCCTCTCCACAGATCAGAGTGGAAGTAGCTCAGTCGGTAAAGTGTTTGTCCACTTATCCGAAGTTTGAGAGCTCACATCCACTGCCCAGAGGTTGGTGGTGTGATTCCAGTTCCCACAGATGAATGCTGTCTTTGTGTCCTTCGGCAATACTTTTAACCCACCTTGCCCCTAGTGTCTGCATACACTGGTGTATGAATGCCTGTGTGAATGGGTGAGTGGCTTCTTGTTGTAAAGCACTTTGAGTGCCTTAACAGCGATAAAGCACTATATAAAAATGTGCCCATTTACCATTTACCTGTAACTTGTGTTGTGGAAAATATTATATATCTCTTGATAATAAATAATTCATCCATTTGCGAAGCCCGGAGAGTTTTTGGAATACAAACAAAGGTTTATTCTTCTTGTTACAGCAGATATGGACAGGGCTTAGGCCTGCCCTGGCCTCCCGTCCCCAGCAGTATGTCCCCTTAGACCCCCGGCTCAAAGCAGAGTGACACTCATAGGCTGGTGCTAATCAACTTAACATACATTAGAGAACAGCTAAGGCAACACACAGTACCATACTGTGGAACATTCCAGACCAAGCAAGAACATCTCCATGGCAAAAGCATTTGAGCACATACAAGCCTATCAGCCAATCATTAATCAGTGTGTCAGAGAGTCATTTTAGGTTTAAAACAACTGGATTTTAACATTGAAACTGACATGGCAAAAGGAGAAATTCAATTTGTCAACTGGACAAAAGTTTATTTTGGTTGAATACGTTACATAGCTCATCCAAGCTGCTGCTTCAGTTCAGGTTAGACGCTGGTGAACACTTTCTTCTATTTGCCTGCAGGGAGGAGCTAACTACAATGAAACTACTCTGAAACTAACACACCTATTTGTTTACAGTTTCTGTTAGTTAGACCTATTGAACTTGCACTTGAACTTGAGTGTGGGGGTCACATTGAAACTGACAATGATCTTTTTTTGTCTTTGTTTTATTTCTCTTTCAGATCGCAACGCTGTGAATGCTGAAACAACTTACTGTCAACTCACGAGAGGTTTAGCCTGACAAACTTCACCGTTGCTATGGAGAATTTAAGCGAACTGCAGAATCCGTTACTGGACAAAAACACAAAGCACATGGTAAACGGATACGGCGGGGACGTACCAAATAATCAATACCAGGAGAATATTATCAACTACTTCGCAGGCAGCGGTGAGGTTGGAGGCGCTAACAAAGTGGCCAACAAAGTGGCTAATGGTACAGTGGTGAACGCTGGGAACTACAACACAAATGGCCGAATCAAAACGCAACAACTTCTGGACGCTACCTCTCTGCATCTGGCAGTGGAAGCTTTCTACAAACCTAATTTTATACTGTACAAAGAAGACAGCGCTAGTATCAAGGCTAAGGAATACAAAAGTGAGTGTTGTGAGACCACGTTCACAGAGAAGAAAAGCAAAGAGACCTCCACACCTGCAGGGGGCGACTCAGCTGGAGCAGAGGACCCCCAGAACAAGCTGATGGAGGATGGGGAACATGTGAAGATTCAAACAGTGTCCTACGAAGTGGAGGAGGAGGAGTATGTTGAGTATGAGGTAAGGCAAGAGAGAGTTTAAAGATGCACTATGTAACTTTTGGTAGGGGAGGTGTCACCTGCTTGTCTCTATGGATATGTCTTTGCTGTGGCTGGAATGTTCCACAGAGTGACATTAAACAGCTCTACCTTACATTTATTTAGTGCTGTAGTACTTGAGACCGGTCTTGTTCTTGAGACCGCCCTAGAAACCTTTTTTTTACAGTCTCAGTCTTGAATGCGTTTGGACTCGGTCTTTTCACGGACTCCAGGTCTAACTCCAGTCAGGTTTAAAATTCCTACCCACTTTCTTCACTTTCTTCACAGTTTTCTGTAAAGAGCCAGTGTTCTCTTAAAGAAGGGGTTCTCAAACTGTATGTGAGGGTTCAAAAAAGGGGCCTAGAGTGTGCAGTACAGTTTGCTTGTCTTATTTTATGCTTAAATTAACATTTATCAGATAAAATGGAGATAGATCTATAAAAACATTGATATAAATGTGCCAAAACAACTGTAAAATACAAAAAAATTTAGAAAATGACAAAGGTGATCTCGATTTGGTCTCAATGGGCCGAGGTGTTGTCTCGGTCTCGGCCTTTAAATGTCTCGGTCTCAACCCTCAGAAGTCTTGGTCTTGCCTACAAATTATTTTATAGCTGAAAAACAGACATTTTAACTGTGAGCAGGGTCGCCTCTCCACAGATCTGACCTGTAACTTGGTCTGGTTTGGTCTCCATGAAGACAGAAAGGTTTAAAACTATACTGTGAAACATTCCAGACAAAGCAACAACATCTCCCTGGAGAAAAGCATTTGACGAACCTTCCAGCAGAAAAGTTACACAATGCACCTTTAATGGATAATTTAAAGAGGGAGTATTACTTCACTTTTTTTTTTTTATCTGACACTGCTTTATTTGTCAAAAACAAAGTACTAACAATTTAACTTTTGTTTTTGATGACCAAGAGTCCCCCCCTCCCTTTGCTCTCTGTACTAAGTCACTTCCCCTTCAGAGCACTATCACAACACAATCAGTGTGCAGCCCGATAATAAAACTACTGCACATCGCATCAGGTTTGTCAAGTTGTCATGTAAAATTTTGTATATTTATGCAGCTAACTGTAAGGAGGGTTTGAATACAGCCCAGGAGAGATCGCTAAAATACTAAAACATGCCCGGATGACAGCTGATGAGGAAACAAACAAAAACAAAAACAAAAAAAAGCATTATACCTTCTCTTTATGTTGTTGTTCGATCGATTTCTTGTGTTCTGAGGAGGCAAGAACATTACAGTTTTGTGCAGTAACATTATCTTAATGAGCGTAAGTTAAGTTATCTCACCCTTTTATACCACCCACTCACTTTCTCTCCGACTTTCTCGGTTACCTCAGACGCCCTTGGTCCTTGTTAGTGAATTCTGGTTACAAAGCTTGTAACTTGCAGTGTGTGTAGGAGTTGCTTGCCAGTGGTGGAGTGGTTTAAGTTTTTGCACACGTGTGGTTCATGAGTAGAGACCACAACCCCAGGATATAGTTTAAATAAAACTGTATTATGCTTGAATTCAGAAGGGAGTGGAACTGGACCATAGAGCATGAAAATCCTCCGTATTAACTTGAGATGATCCAACCGCAGCTGATAATTATTAGTATCACGTGTCAAATCCAGAAGACATCTCCTCTTGAAAGTTCTTGTAACCTTCCAAACTAAATATATAACTTTAACTATAACTATATGCCAAGTTTGGTTCTTCAATTATTGATTCTGCAAAAACCTGAGCTGTTTCTCAGTGTTTTATGTTGTTTTCTTCCCCCTTTTTACATGTTTGTTTTTGACGCAAACAGACCATACTTTCTCTCATCAGTTAATTCATCTGTCACTCTGAAATCATGGAGACAGGATATGGATGGATACAAAGTTTTGTCAAAGTGTGTGGTTCGGACTGGACAAGTAAGTCCTGGATCACCAAAGATATTTGAATTTGATGAAGTAATACTGAAGAATCCGTGTATCATTCATTCATTATTTTCTTCATTATTTGTCTCCAAAACCAAAATGAAAAAATGGATTACAATTTTTTTTTTCATTTGTCGATTCTGTGTTTAAATGAATGAAGGAAGTGACACAGATCTAAACCAGGACTAAAACAGGTCTAAATCATCTCTAACCCAGGTCTAAACTGGTCTCAGTTGTAGTCTCTGTCCCAGTCTCAGTCCTGGTCCTGATCCTGGTCTGTCCCGGTCTCAGTACTAAATCAGGACTAAACCAGAACTGAACCAGGAGTGTCGGGACTGTCCTGGATGTGCGCCCGCGTAGACTGCTGAGTGATCAAAAAACAGGGACCAGACTGGGACCAGGACTGAGACCTGGTTCAGTCCTGGTTTAGACCTGGTTTAGACCTGTTCAGTCATGTTTTAATCCTGTTTTAGTCCTGGTTCAGTCTGTATGTGGAGCAAAAGTCCAGCATCGCAGTTTAAGTCACGCAAACAGGAAACGCCCATTATAAGTTTTTTTACATTATGGTCCTGGTCTGAAATACAAAATTGAAAAATGAAAAAAACTAATCGTTATCCATTTTTTCATTTTAGTTTGGAGACAAATAATGAAGAACATAGTTGTTTTTTTCATTTTCTTATTTTTGGTTTTATATTGAAAAACGAATGAACAAATGATACACAGATTTACACAGATTCTGAAGGCTGGTTTTGGGCCTGTGAACACTGACCTCCTTTTCCATCTCCATATTATTACTATAGTATTAGTATTGTGATCTACAGTACTTCATAATATCAGATCTCTTTGTTTACCAGTTAAATCTAAATGGTATTGATCTGCTGATATGAGTAGTTTTAATGCTATATTTACTGTCGATTAGGAAATTGGTATTGATTTTTAGACTAGCTCAGTTGGTACTGAGTAGCGTCTTTGGGCAACACACTTAACGCACCTCACCCCCAGTGTCTGCGTACAGCTTTGAGTGCCTTGAAAATGGAAAAGCACTGTATAAAAATATGACCATGACTAGGAGTGTAACGATATCTAAGTCTCATGATACAATATCGTCACGTATGAACCTCATGGTACGATATTTATTGCGATATCATGGGAAAGCTCATGATATGGTGGGGAGGCTCAGGATTAAGGACATAACAATATGCTTCCTTTTCCCTCTTAAAATGCCTTGACAAGCCTTAATCCAAAGAACGAAGACTTAAAAGTGCTAAGAATTGTTATTTTTTCATGTAGTCTATACTGAAATAGAGCAAAGGATCATGGTCTATGTAGTTCCCTATGTATTATTTTAGCTATTGCTGCACCATAACTCTTAATTTAAGCAAAGAGACTTGTAATTCGATATATTGTGATGGTCCATGATATTATAGTGTCAACTCTGACGATACGATATCACGATATTTCGGTTATTGTTACATCCCTAACCATGACCATTACTTTTGTCAGTGTAAGGACTTTAAAAACTCAGTGGACCACTTATGCATTGCTGCCAGGTGATGTCACAAAGTGGAAGCAAGCAGCTCTTTGTTTGTGCTTTTAAAACCTAAAACTGTTTTGCTTATGAAGGTTAAGATAAATGCTTTCGGCTTCTTTTTTTTCCATTTCCAAGAACAATGTCATATTTTTAAAGGTAACAGAGCAACAGTGCAATTCTTTTTTGTATTCACAGCCTTGGCTCTGCAGATAGATATCGCCTCTGTATATTTTACTGAAGGAAGCGCTAAAGAGTTTTTGAGTTCATTGAAAAGTCAGACCAGCCCGGCACTGTTAGACACAAGCAAGCGAGGATTTAGCAAAATGGTTTTATCCTGTACGCTTCAAAAATCGACAAAATCCACCAAGAGGGAACCAGAAACATTTCAAATATGGGCAGCAAAGTTTTCTCATGAAGTGTTAAAAGTAGGGCTGAACAATATGACATTAAATATATTTGTACAATTTTGTTTTGAATTGATGGATTACTGTTTTCAGTGTAATTATGTTTTGTATTAATAAAAAATGACTTTCCCTTTTTTCCCTTCAAAATCTGAACTCTGCTCCCAAGCAAATTATTTTACTGACAGAGGTTTAAAAAAAAAAAAAAAAAAAAAAAAAAGCCCCAAATCTGACAATTGCCCAAAATCTGACAAATTGAAAAAAGAAAAAAAAACAAAAAGATAATAAAATAAAATTCTTGTCATATTGATCAGCCCAAAATGAAAGATATAATTTTTTTCATGACAATTTTTCAAAACTTAATTTTGCAGGTCAGCCCCCGTTTTCACCGCCACTGGTACACGCCCACTGCTCAGTCCTTATTTTGTTCTCCAATTTTATTTTCTTAATCACTGATTCAGTGTTGTGTCTTTATTTTGGTACAAATGAAAAGAAAAATCAGCTACTCGCTAATATGATCTGCAGCCATCCATCGGAGGTGACAATAGCTGCATGGCTCTTTATTTTTATTTATTTATTTTGCACATACATAACATAACTATTAAAAAATAAAATAAAATAAAAAAACATAAAACTTAAAAAGAGTAGGTGCTAGAAGAGGCAAAAAACCCAAAAGGGCTTATATTAAAGCCTCCAACTTATAAATACATTTTTAAAAATTTGATTCAAACATGGATTAAAATACAGCAACATCCATAATTGAATGATTGTCAAACATTATCATGAAATATCAAACCTCACACTCAAACCTCATATCAAACCTCACTTTCCTCACACTCTTTCTAAACAAAGCCTCTGATATAGCATCTCTAACCAGATGTGAAAACTAAACCCTTGATGTGACACATTTTGGAAAATAAAAATTACGATTTTGACGAGTATTGTATCGCTATTTGTTGTGATGGCGTTTATGACGACGTTTGCTCCCATTCAACACTGCAGTTTTCTAAATCAGCAGACTTGTTTCTTTTATTAGGTTGTTTTAGATTAATATAAAAATCATAACATCCATGGGTGTCATAAATGTATATATAAGAGACACAAACACAATATTTGCTTCAAAACATGACTGTGATTGGTTA